TGTTATATATGGCTTTAATTATGTTGAGGTTTGTTCCCTCCAGTCCAGTTCCCTCTAGGACTTTGAAAATAAATGCATGCTGAATTTTGTCAAAGGCCATCTTTGCATCTGTTGAGATGACCATGTGGTTCTTGTCTTTGAGCCCATTTATGTGATTTATGACATTTATTGACTTACGTATATTGAACCATCCCTGCATCTCTGGGATAAAGCCGACTTGATCATGGTGGATGATCTTTTTGGTGTGTGTGTGTATGCAGTTTGCAAGTATCTTTTGAGAATTTTTTCATCTATGTTCATTAAGGATATGGGTCTATAGTTTCCTTTTTTGGTTGTATCTTTACATGGCTTTGGCATTAGAGTGATTCTGGCCTCATAGAAGGAATTTGGGAGTTCTCCCTCCATTTCTATCTTTTTGAATAAATTAAGTAGTATTGGATGTAGATCTTCTTTAAATGTCCAGTAGAACTCCGCTATAAATCCATCTGGTCCTGCCCTTTTTTCAGTTGGGAGATTTTGTATTACTGTTTTAATTTCTTTTTTGTTTATGGGTCTGTTTAAGCTGTTAATCTCTTCTTGGTTTAGTCTTGATGGTTCCCATGCCTTAAGATATCTGTCCATTTCTTTTAGGTTTTCAAATTTAGTAGCATATAGGTTTTTAAAGTATTCCCTTATAATGTTCTGCATCTTTCTGGTATCTCTTGTGATGTTTCCCCTTTCATCTCTGATTGTGTTGATTTGTAGGTGCTCTTTCTTTCTTTTGGTTAACTGGGCTAGCAGTCTGTCAATCTTGTTTATCTTTTCAAGTTCTTGGATTCATTGATTCTTTGTATTCTTTTCTTTGTTTTGATTTCATTAATTTCTGCCCTGATTTTTGTTATTTCTCATCTGCTGGGTTTGGGTTTCATTTGTTGTTGCTTTTCATGTGTCTCAAGTTGCAATGTTAAGTCATGTATTTGTGTTCTTTCCTATTTTTTGATGTAGGCACTTAGAGCTTTAAACTTCCCTCCAAGGACCGCTTTCAGCGTGTCCCAGAGGTCTTATGGTGTTGTATTGTCCTTATCATTTAGTTCCAGGAATACTTTTATGTCTTTCTTAATTTCTCTTTTGACCCATTCATCATTCAGGAGTGTGTTGTTTAATCTCCATGTGTTCATGTGGTGACTAGCGCTTCTTCCAGTGTTGATTGTAAGCTTTATTGCACTGTGGTCTGATAGAATGCATGGAATTATTTCAATCTTTTTGTATTTGCTGAGCTTTGTTTTGTGCCCCAGTATATGGTCGATTTTGGAGAAAGTTCCATGGGGTGCTGAGTAGAAAGTATGTCCTTTGGTG